TTTTGCCCAAGGGACCTCACGAGGTCCCTTGGGCAAAAGGAATCCGCGTTTCACGGAGAGGAGCGGGCACACGCGTAGAGAGACGTTACAACCGAGAATCTGGATCGGGGTGACACCCTATTGGCTGATGGCCTTAAGCACATTTGTTTTTTTTTTTGTCCTTTTTTCTTTTTTGACATCGCTCCAAGGAAACGTCCTCGGGCGACGTCCCCGAGGACAGGTGGAACGAAGGGCCCAAATTTCCTTTTGACTAAAAGGAATTTTTCCTCGGGCTCCGAGGACGCCCCAAGGAGTGTCGAACGAGCCCCAAAATCGCACTTGAACTCAGGTCACCTCCCGGAGGTACCTTGAGTTCAAGTGCCAGCGGATACCTCCAGCACTCCAAGTGGGGCCTTTTTTTTGCTCTTCTTTTTTCCCAGCAGGCGATCCTTGTCCAAGATTGGTCAAGCCATGGAGTTCCTTTTCAAGTGCAGGCTGGGGCTAGGTCCCACTTACACGAATTAAGCGATATTGACCGTAGATCGCAGAGATCAATGGCCAGAATCTCTTAAACCACCAGTACTTGGCCCACATGTGACGCGCAACCTCACGCCCGATGCCGTCTTCCATGCGGAGTGTTAGCTGTGCGGAAAAGAGGCCCAGAAAAACAGCAAGTTGGGGTGCGCCAAGGATTTTTGGAAATTGAGTGTGGGGACACAGACGGAACTGAAATCCCCCGTGTTGATCCGATGAAGCAAGTCGATTAGTTTCGCACGTCGCGGGCTGCGCGCGCGGACATGGCCCGAAAACAGAAGGATCCAAATTCAATTCAGAAAGTACTGTTGGGCTTCCCACCAGGCTACAGCCAGTCGTTTAGAACGGAAAGGCTCTGACAAGCTTCGCGTGTCTCGTTTTCGTATCAGATCTCGTCGTCGTTCACTGGTCAGTTCCGAATCCGACGTGGATGGTCTCAGCCAAGTGGCTCTTTCCTTATGCTCGTCCTCACTCCGTATTCGGTAGCGGAAGCGCTTCGCTTCGTAGCAATTGAAACGCTGGCACTCCGTGCACAGAGTGCGGGGCCAATGGGGCGCCACTGCCGTGCACGGAATGACGATCAACTCGTTAAACGACAACAATATAAATAGGGTGGAAAGTGCGTATCGATAATGACAAATCCGGCGTCTACGAACCCTGAACAACGGTTGGCCGGAGGGAAGTAATACTGTCCGCCGATTTGTGCGACGGCTTCTCGTACGTCCCACTCACATACACGTGTCCTTTCCTCACTGTAGGGAAATGGTCGCGTTGGGATGGGAGATACGGGAGGCATGCGCCCAATCGAAGGGTGTTTGTCAGTCCACATATCAATTAATCACATAAGAGCAAAAATCATTCATGCGATCCTCAATCTACCCTTCTCGACACACGAGGGAGCAGACACACATCAAATTGATCATGCATAGGGCTAAGGGACCGACCCGCGACTCAGTTCAATATAACGTTGGTTTCCGGTGCCTTGTTTCTCAAGGTCACCTGGTGGCGTGGCTGCTGATGTCGTGCCGCATAAAGCAGATGGCATGCGCAGTGCGTTCGGGACCATAGATCTAAACACTGTTATATTCTCGAACAAAATCCCGACGACACTCGTCTAATCAATCCGAAAGGTTCACGCGTCTCTATACATGCATTCACTGTGGGAGGTGCGAAAATGAGACATTCACAGGAAAAGATGGATCGCATTGCACAGTACACACGCATCCATCGTTCACAAGACAAGTAGGCGGGGTCCTTGCGTAGGAGGATTACCCAGGAAACTAATGGAAGAGTTCCGGAAGAAGTTCTTTCACACAAAAACAGGAGGCCGACTTATTCCCATTCAAGAGAGGGACAATCGTTCAGACACATCGTCTTTCGAGAAGAGAGAAAGAGAGAGAGAGTCGAGGGAAAGAAAGTCCAAAATAGAAGATGGCAAGATCCAGGAAGAGAAAAGTTCGGTGTCACCGCCGTACACTCACGCGAAAGATAACAATCCGCAACAAAGGTGCATTCGCCGTTAATTCCAATATGGCCCCGGGCCAATCAACTCAACATCAATCCTCATACCCGTACCGACGATCCCGGCCGTCGCGAGCTAACTCCCACCACTGCGATCGTCACCCCGCTGTCGTAAACTCGACACGGTTCACCTAGATCCCATAGTCCATCGTGGCGATTCAGCGCGCAACCGGCCAGTCTATCGTCAGCCCGACAGGACTTTCCGAATCACTTTAAATACTCTGCCTAGCCACTGCTTCCCGGAAGCTGGCTTCAGAGTCGAGAACGTAAGAGAGATTTGCGGGCGCGCTTGCGGGTTTTATAGTTGCGAGAAAGGAGATAGAAGAGGGAGAGAACGACGGGAAGGCGGGGGTGTAGGAGGAGAAGGAGGAGAAGACTTTGAGAAGAGCGCTCCGAGAACGCCATGTTGATCCCTCGGAACTCAAGGTTCAACCAATCAGATTCGTCGTGCGATAGGAAGGTCCTATCGATCCGCGCACGTGATTGATGAGCGGGAGTTATCGGAGGATCGACTRGGAGTCGTACGCCAGACTCAGAGGGTGAGAAGAGAAAAGGCGYGAGAGGTGGCGCAAGACGGGTCCAAGATTCAGRCGATCAAGAAAGGRAAATGGGCGYGCAAAASAGCAAGACGGGGGAGGGGGAGAGARGGAGAAACAGTTAYGGGGARAGAGAAAGAGGAGGGAGAAGGAAAGGGAGCGYGGGAGGGAGCGATGCGGGGGACAGAGAGGAGAAAGCTTCTGCATGCGTGGCGCCGTCAACAAAAAAAGAAAGAAAAAGGCACCGAAACAGTTACAGTTTGCTTYTATCCTAATTCAAAATTGAAATCAYCATATCCGTGCGCGAAAAAGTGACGCGGAAAAAATCCTACGCCTATTTATGTTCAYGCGAAATTCCGAGAGTTTTCCCCRACGCGCCCAAGAACACTCACACACCCAAAAAGGACACGTCGAAGTTCCGCTTATCCCGGAATTCCCAACCGCTGGGCCCAATTCCCAGTGTGCTCGCTAAGGCGCACGCAAATCCCCATGTATTTCCCGACTTTGCAAAAAAGAAAAACAGAACTCAGCAGTCGAAAAAGGGAAAATGCGGCACCCGAAAGCAAGAAATCAAAAACGGGTTTTTCCTGGGGTTGGTAATAAGCAAAAGAAAGGGTACGAAAGGTGGCACGGGGTCGTGAAGTGGTTCGTCACATATGTGACGCGTAGGGGGTTCCAAAATTATACGATCTCCTGTTTGCATGTCATGGCGAAAAGAAACAGAGTGATGCATGAGGAACCAAACGTATCATCAGAGCAGAAAGAAGTACAAGGAACGATAACTGGGCCGTGGATGAGATGGCGACAACATCCGTGACAAGATCCCTGTAGCCCTGTCATATGCAACCCTTTGCCTCGTGGAGATCGTCCAGGTGACGCCATCATGGTCCTCCTGATCCCCGTGTACTCCGCACCCCTGCTCGTTGCCGTCCGTCGAATCAGCGCGTAGGTTGACGTCATCATTGATGGAGTGATCTTCGCGAAGCTTACTGATTCGTGCCGATGAAGAAGTGAATGGGATCTACCACCGCCTAGTTGGAATAGGCCAGTAGAGGCAGTACGTGCCGGGGATCTCGCGGGGATGACGGGGTGGGAGTGGGGGTAGGAAGTGATTCATCCCTTCCATCGTCATCGGGAGTTCCTCGTATCGGATGATCCGGTGGAAGCGGGGGAAATGATCGCCACTGCGAGGGAGAGAAGCGAGGTAGTCGTGATAGAAGGAGGAGAGGGTGCGAAAAAGCGCCGCTCGATAGACCTCGAAGTGGCGGCAAGCGGGGATTGTCCCCGTGGCAATGTAGTAGACCTCTACTACGTTGGATTGCTCCCATGCAGCGCTGAACAGCAGGAGATGCCAGCAAAACGCGGGAGCAGCAGACTGAAGGGAGGCGTGGGGGTGGCCGGTGGCGAGTAGACGGGTAGAATAGAAGTTGCGGAAGAGATGGGGATGGAAGGGATGGGGAGAGAAGGTGACGGGGGTACGGATCTGCTCGAGGGTGAGGAAATTAAGGGGTCGGCGGGACAACGTCCGAGGACGAAGGCCTATCGCCCGCATCGGCACGTGGGCGAACTGAGGGACGGGTGGGGCTGGAGGAGGAGGGGGATCGGCGCCATCTCCGTCGCGCGGTACTTGAGGTGGCGGCTGCAGGGTCGCCATCTTCTTCTTTGTCGTCGTCGT